CTTTCAAGTGGTTTCTATCGGGTTAGTTCAAGTGGTTAGAGTTCTAGTTAATAATTAGGACGTAAATATTACTGTATAAAAACGTATAATTAGTTTAAAAGGTATAAATCAAAATACTTATTTTTATAGGGTATTCCACCTAATTTTCCCAAAAAAAATTCAGTGAGGGGAAAAAAAGAAAATAATAATAAGGATAGAGAGAATACAAGTGCCACGTGGAGTACTGGGATTCGAGGAACTGTGTCATTACAGCACTTTTTTTTTTTATCTTAAGAGTTCCAAACAGCGGATTATAAGTAGAATAGGGTTGCTAACAATTTTCATTCCAAATGTTGTTTCTCTTCATTGACTTTTCCGAATTTATAATTGGGAAAATTGAAGAGAAAAATGGATTCAATAAAATCCCTTCAAGTTCGACGGACTCTTCATCAGGCTTTGAGCCTTGGTTCCTTCTTCAACTCTCTGTTTCTATTTCTGTGTTTCTGATGTTATAATTCTATGAATTTCTGCAGTCATTTCATTTTATTCTTTAGTTTTAAATTAGATAATTGTTGGACTTCAGGGATGATCATTGTGTCTGCACTTATAATATGGAAGGGTTTGATGTGCATTACCGGGACTGAGTCCCCTGTCGTCGTTGTACTTTCAGAAAGCATGGAACCCGGTTTTAGAAGGGTCAGTCCATCTCTCTTCGTAATATTTTTCTAATTATGTTAATTAGAGCCGTTTCGGAATAAACTGAGGAACAGTGGACATCGATTTGGGCAAAAACGTAGTAAAATCAATTTCATTTACAGGGAGATATTTTGTTTCTGCACATGAGCAGAGATCCTATTCGAGCAGGCGAAATTGTGGTGTATAATGTCGATGTAAGATTTTGTTTTGTCTCTTTATTTTTATCACTTTGCCGCTTCTCTTTTCATACATTCTGTTCGCTTGCTCTATCTTCAATTAATTTCAGGGTCGCGATATTCCCATTGTTCATCGTGTAATTAAGGTAAAATCATGTTCTGCATTATTTCCATTCACTTTCGTGTAATCAGCAATGAGATAAATCATAAATGTAGTATTTATCTTACAGGTTCATGAACGGCGAGATACAGGGGAAGTTGATATTCTCACTAAAGGTCCTGGGGAAATCTAGCTGAATATTTGTTGAACTCTGATATTCAACGGTTAAAATTTAACGATTCAAGTTCTTTTTATGGGCTTTTCTCTCAGGAGATAACAATGACGATGATGACATATCTTTATATGCTGGTCAGCCATGGCTACAGAGACACCATATCATGGGAAGAGCTGTCGGGTAAAATCTCTGTCGATAAATTAGTTTTGAATTTTCGATTTTAGCTACCATGCAAATCTCTCGATATTTCTCGATGGTGTAATAGAATTTAACACATTAGTTAATGTCATTTGCAGTTTCTTACCTTACGTTGGCTGGGCTACCATCATCATGACTGAGAAGCCATTTATAAAGGTTAGTGAACTCGTTCTCTGGCCGTGTGGTCCGGAGGCGGTCCAGCATGTCAGAATGATATTGACAACTAACTCAGAACGATATTGGCATATTCTGGCGGAGTCGAGGCTAGATAACCAAACCCACAACCAACTCAGAACGATATTGACAACTTCTTTTTACCTTTTGCAGTATATTCTTATTGGGGTACTGGGGCTGCTCTGCATTACATCTAAAGACTGAAAGAACAAAGTTCGCCTGCATCAATTTCTGCAGATAGAGTTTGGGAATTAGCAATAGACCACACGCTTCACTGTTTATTTTTCTGAGTACGAGGAAATTTCAGCATAGATATGGTTGTCCTCACCAGCTGGTTTGATGTATTCTATTACGAGTAATTTGAATTCTTATAATTATAATTGTGCATAAACTGCGATGCAAGTTACAAATATATTTACATTGAGATATACCAGTTTAAAGATCAATAAAACCATTTCCAACACGAAATTTACACGTTAGGACTCTGCCGACAGATATCATGTATAAAACAATTCAACCAAAAAGAACTAAAACTTGAAAATCATATTTTGAATTCACAAAAGCAGTTTGGCAAAGTAAATCCTGTGCCCATCAGGAAATTATCTTTGTGAATCTTCCATAACGAATCTTTTAGCCCTTGAGAAGTTAGCAATGCAAAGCCTGTCTTGCTTAAGAAAAAGTGGTTTGTACAACCCCTTAAAAGCCCGCTTTGGTAAATACATTCTTGTATACTGAAGTAAATCCTTCTAGTTCCATAAGGCCATTCCCAGCTGCCAAATAAATATTCGTGTTTGTAGGGATAGAAAGAGCTTGAAGGATAAAAGCGGTATCATTTGGGGTGAGGGGACACTTCCCACGGTTTCTCCAAATACAGGTTTGTTCTCCCCTTCTATAACTTGGACAGAAGCAGAAGAAAGGCTTGCATTGACTGCAAGCAACCATGTCCGGTTCAAACCGCAGGTGAAGTGAGAGGAAGGGCTTCGGTATAGTTTCTAGAAGCTCAATACCTTTCTTCTCCAACGCATTGGTTAAATGCAGAGCATTATAGCAATCTTGACGGAGTGCAGCTTTTGCATACTATGGATATCTACAAAATATGTAGAGATGAGATGCACTTGGTAACCTTTAACTACAGTTCTAAAAATTTGAAATACGTAAAAAGGGTCAATAACTTGAAGAACTACGTTTCTGACATAAAACTCGGTAGTATAAAGTTCATTGTGGTTATAAAAATGAACCCAGCTTAGTGTACAGAAAAAACATACAGACAGCCTACAGAATACATACAATAGGTGGGGTCCATTTTTTTGACAATATTTAATTCACACGAGGCCCACCCTCATGTGAGTATTTGTAATTGTTCTGTACAAACACAATTTTCCTAAAAAATTGAGGGAGTCGTGCTATTCGTACCTAAAATAGTTGACATACAGGTTGAACGACACTCACAATTGGGGGACCAGCTTTTTTTTTTTTTAGAATTTTTTAATCACGTGGGGCCCACCGCATGTGAGAGGTTGTAAAATTCGTTGTCATCTATTTTCGATACAAATGGAATAATCCAAAATTGAGTGGGTGTGCAAGATCCAACATCATAATATTTCAAGCTTGCAGTCATCTCAGTCCTCAGAATAGACGTACAACATACATGGTATAAAATCCTATGCACAAAACAATAAATACACTTGCTAGGGCCTTAAAGCCCATTAACTGGCCATAATGTTTAGTGCATATCTTGCATAGACCTAAAGAAATCATACTCACAAAAGCAATTCAATCCGGTAGCAGTCATCAGAAAAGGTAGAGAGATCAATATTTTTAAACTAAGTTAAGTCGCAGTTTGTTTTAACTTCTAACAAATTAATAAGTAATAATTATTTCAACAATAAATTAAAATTGTTCATTCAAAAAATCAAAAGTTACAAATTTGATAATTAATAAATAACAACATAAATATATTAAAAACACAAATTAAAGTACAATACATCTTTCTATATATAAAAAGTGCCTATTTAACGGAATTTGTTGGTTTAACGGAAAAACTAACGGAATTTATTGTTTTAACGGATTATGTAACGGAATTTCTTGTTTTAAACAGGCAGCTGCACCTTCTTTCAGTGTTTTTATCATAACTTTGTATTCCGATATTCGATTGAGGCGATTCAAAATGCGTTGGAAAGCTAACCCATCTGGCTACAACTTTGATTCAGACATCATTCTCCAATTCGATCACTTTCTATGCCAAAAATATGTCTCAATATAACGGACTATGTAACGGAATTTCTTGTTTTAAACAGGCAGCTGCACCTTCTTTCAGTGTTTTTATCATAACTTTGTATTCCGATATCCGATTGAGGCGATTCAAAATGCGTTGGAAAGCTAACTCATCTGGCTACAACTTTGATTCAGACATCATTCTCCAATTCGATCACTTTCTATGCAAAAAATATGTCTCAATATAACGGACTATGTAACAGAATTTCTTGTTTTAAACAGGCAGCTGCACCTTCTTTCAGTGTTTTTATCATAACTTTGTATTCCGATATCCTATTGAGGCAATGCAAAATGCGTTGGAAAGCTAACTCATCTGGCTACAACTTTAATTCAGACATCATTCTCCAATTCGATCACTTTCTATGCCAAAAATAGGTCTCAATATGAGACTAAAACATCGGAGCATAACTTTTCGGTTGGAAATTGATTTGTGATCATCTTTTGACTAAATTTGATTCCATTGACGTCTTCCTTTATCCAATTGACTCCGAGCACTCTCAAATCTTCATCGTGAGGTTCGACACAACTTTTAAGTATTTACATTTTAGTCCCCGAACTTTGGATCCCTTACAATTTAACAATTTCTCCAAATTTGTCTACTTTTGCTTATTTTCTTCAATCTCACCAACCTACATCACAATATCAAAATCACACATCTAATTATTTATCAATTACATAAACATTACATCATTAATTATTTAGATGGTGTCTGTTTCTTCTTTTCAGCAGAAATCAAGCCGTTGGCAGCACAATTCATGCCGTTGGGAGCCGCAATTTTTGACCAATTCTCTCAATGTAGGGCTGTAGGTTTGAAAAAGAACGATAACATAATCAATTTTCCTTCCTCCTTACAGCGCACCCAGACACGCCCTTAATTAACCAAAAAAATTACATCTTTATTGATAACAAATTAATTCTTAAACAAAACTATTAAATATAAACTAAGCAAACGTGCATTGCACCTAGTCATTTAACTAAAACAATAATTTAGTACTCCGATAAATAAGTGACAAAACAAGTTGTCATTCTCGTTATATGTAAATTCCCTTCTGCGTTCAATGTAATTTTTATAATTTGCTATATTATGTTTAACCTTTTTTTTCATTCTATTAATAAATGAAATATTTTAGTTCATTAAATATAATTTCTAATTTAATGATTTTATTCAAATTTGGTGCAAAATTACGCTAAATTTAGCGTAGCCTCTCCAATGATTGCATCATATTTTACATCAAATTTCCATCTCCACTCTGGAGATGAGCTTGAGGACTGGGGAGAACCATCCAATGGTGTCCTCTTCAATGGCAGATGAACCCATATCAAGCATTCCGTCGCCTTTAATGCCCCTAGTTGGGTTACAGGCACCAGTTGCTATGCCCGACAATCAACCCTCACAAGCCCCGGCAAAAGGTAAGATGAAGTTGTAGGGAATCAACCTGAAATTCCCAACCTGTGAGAAATACTGAATGGAGAAAACACACGTCAAAGAAAAACAATCACACGCACAATACAATATTTATGTGGTTTGGCCAATTTACATACGTCCTGGAGTTGCAATTCACAATTATAAGGGAAATAATACAAAGTGCGACTGTACATTTTTTCTCTCTATATGTCATAAAGAGTCCTAGTCACCAAAACTGAGTTTTCTATATCCTGCACACAGGATTCACAATGGGCAATAAAACGGGTCAAAAATCTCCGCTCCATGGACTAAGCCTCAAAAAATCTCCCATTAAAAAATCACACAACATTATTCGGGTCAAGTTGTCAATTAGATCAAACAAAACATATACATGACGTGTTGAGATATAATTGAGTCATAATTTCTTCAATAAAAAAAAGGAACTTTTTCACTCTATTTTTGACGTCTCTAAATCATTATGTAACTCTATTATCTACGAGTAGCATTATTCATTGCAAAAAATAAAAAAAATTAGGGAAAATATTGAAGGTAATGTGATCCCTGGCCGGCCCTTAACTACTCAAACTAAACTCATGGGTCGTAGGGATATTTCCCATTTGATTTGCTAATGATTTATAGGACCCAAAAAAAATTATTCTTCCAAAATCCGCCATGGCTTCATCTTCAAAGAAACGGGCAAGGATAATCTCTGCCATTGCTTCTCGCATTTATTTCCTTGTAATTATTTTGCAGGTTCCACTTTTCAGGTAATTTATTTATTCAATGTTTACAGGGTTACTTTATTACAAAAAATGGTAATTATTAATTGATTTTAGTTTTACTTCATTTTCATCTGGGTTTTTCTTATCTGCTGATTGCCAGAGTGAAAATATGTGCTAGATTTTTTATATTTGCATAATGTGGATAAAATTGACAGAGATTCTGATTTATTTTGCCGAGAACATTATTTAATTGTTTTAGTATTACTTTTACCATTTGCATTTGATCAATACCTATAAAGCATCGTATTTTTTAGGAACTTCACCAATTTCCAGATTTACGCCAAGATCCTCCTCTGTGAGAAAATAATAAATATGGAAGAATAACAACACAATGATTTACGTGGAAAATTCAAAATCGGATAAAATGACGGGACGGGCTATAAGATTGAGATTTCGACTATATGAAAAATTGTTATAGTATATAGTATCTCTTACATCAAAACCCCCAATTGCTATCCAAGAACATTCACTAAGTTTTACCGCAACTATTCCACTCTTTGAAAAATCCTCAAAGAGAGCTTTTGAATTTTTCTCCCTTTCTTGGTGTGTCTTTGGTGATGAGCAAGCACGGAAGCACCTCTATTTATAGCGCTTCTTGCTCGACAATTTGCACCATTTTTGCATGCAAATCTTACTAAATTCAACAATGGATCGTAAAAGGCTGCATGCAATACACACAAGTCTTCAAATCATGGTAGAATACTATTCCTGCTATTCCAAGCTTCTGTAGATTGTCAACTTTTGGTGCCATGCATCATGGTCTCACATAAGCCATTTTCTTGCACTTACTAGATGCAATTTTGGCTGCTTATGACCCAATTTTCCCAACAATATTTTCTTCATTAGTGAACAATTAAGAATGAAGATTTCCATTAATACATTTATGGCAGGTTTAGTAGGTAAAATTAGACAGTAATAGATGGTATTAAGGAAAGATAAGTTCATTTTTTTCTTACAGTGTCAAGTCCTGTTCCTTGCACGTAGAGAATTGAGGGAGAAGAGAAAAGGGAATTCTTCGAATTTTTGCGCAAGTTGTTTGGGTAATAAAATTGGTTGCATTCCCATTTAAGTTTCTTTACTTTTGCATAATATGATTGCCTCTTAGTAAGGAATGTTCGAGTCCTTTAGGATTTGGGATCAAGTCGAACACATTCCGAATGCTGTAACCCTTTTTGACATGGCTCAACCTCGATTGAATTGCACATAGTACAAATCAACCAAATTTCTCGGGCACGTACAGCCAATTAAAGCTCTTTTTTAGAAGAAAATAAAGGAGCAAAAATTTGAGCAGTTCCTAAAGCTTGCTTATGACATCAACTTAAACAAAAAAATCTTAACTGCAAATAGCTTATTCAAAATCCTAGATTCTTGTACTCAAATATGATATGAATGGTTAGATTTTCACTTTTGTGTTCGACTATTTTGGTTCATGAAAATCTGCTAAAGTATTTATTGATGATATACAGATTTCCATGTAGAATTGGTATGTGTAGAACTCCTATAGAGGTGGCATTGTCTCACTTGATTGCAAGTGAAGTTTTTCCAGATGTTGCAGTGAAGGCTTTTCTGTATCCAGGAGCCATAGCAAAAGCTATAATTAGTAATACAGCGATTCCAAGCTACAACGACTTGCTAAATTTCTTCAAGTTCTCGTATCTGAAGGGAGCATCTGCCGCAACTGATCTCAAACACTTGGAGGTTTGAATTCCGAGGATTATTTCTCTATCCCATATAATTTGCAAGTCATTCTGCGTCTTGAAAGGCAGCAAAAAGAAGAGAATGAGAAAATGGTTTAGTTTTCTTACACTTGTTGATCTTCTGATAGAGTTCCTATGGCAGTGGGACTGTGGGAGTATCAAAATACATAAAATTTATAAATTTGAATTGACAATCTGATATAACCCACAAATGAAAACTAGGGAATCTTTAGATTATGAGACTCCAAAAACTCGGTACTCTATAGTACCAATTTCTTTGACATAAAGTTTGACATGATGCCACGTGTCATTATATCATTGGACTGTTTTAAACACAGTCAGCTTTCCTATCAAATCATTTTCTGCCACCTCAAATTATGTCAAAGCATCTGTTAAAGTTTTTTGGCAAAGTGGCAAAACCCAAATTTTTAATCCATTAGGCTTATTGATAAGTTCTTGGCTCGTGTCAGGTTCTCGTGGGAAGTTACCTCTGTGTAGCAGGAGCTTTTTTAGGTCTGATCAAACCAGGAAGAGCAAGCCTGTTTGGTATACTTCTAGTTTTGTGGGGCATCGCTCGTGAACTCCTTCTTCAGAAGCATGTTGCAACTAAAGACCTCGGAAAAGCTGTCTCTATATATGCCACAATGTGGATACCGGTGCTCTCTTCATTCTTTTCTGTAAGAGGGGATGTGAGAAAGCTCATCAGAAGTTGCAAAGCCAAGCGCATTTCTAAACAGCTACGGATGTATTCGAAAGCAAAGTTTAAATGAATTTCTGGACAAACCAGTCAAGTAATGCGCGTATTTCACACGTGGTTATGTAATAATTTTCTGAATTTTGTTATTTGCACTGATTCACTAAGATGATTATAATTTTGTGAAGGTAACGATTCATGTGATATATTTTATATTTAGGCTGTTTTCTGCAATATATCATTCATGATCACATACTGTAATTATCAGTTTATGTGATTATTTTATATTTCCTATTTGTTGTCAATTTAATTTATTTTATCTTTGCGTTTTATTTTTGTAAAGGAAAATTTTTATTATAAGATTCACCAACTTTAAAATATTTATATTACTTGATAATATATTAATATAAACATATTCTATGTTAATAAAATGCCAATCAATGGATATACACAAAATAAAATTGGATTTTTCATTTTTTTTTCCTCTTGAAACGAACCGGTTTAAATGGAATACGAGGGGTTCCATCTCGAGTTATTAGTTGTTCGTTACATTAATTAAACCATTAAATGTATGGTGAGGAATTTGAAGGAACAATTTACCAATGTTTCATTAATATTAATGCACCGTTATCCTTAACTTTAGTTATAAATGTTTCCTATACTAGGTAACAAAAACTATACTTCATGTCTTCTATTCCTTGTTACAACCGGCGGCCGAGTGGCCGGGCAGGTGCTGACTCGGCCGCTGGTTGTAACTTGATATATAAGCATAATATTGTCAATAAATAAAGTTTTTAGTTATATAAATGATGGAATGTCGATAAAGAGGTCTGAAAATAAAATCTCTCTTACTTGTTGAACCATCGTACCGACTATAAAACAACAAATTCCGTTAGTTTTTCTGTTAAAAACAAGAAATTTCGTTACATAGCCACTTTTAATATATAGAAGATATTTATTGCTTATATCAATCCTTAATTAATTATCATTTGACTTAAACCATGTTTGGTTCTTTCTGCAAACCATTACTTTCCATTATTTGTAGAAAAATCTAAAAGAAAAACTATAACAATAAATCAGCACAAATCTTAGCAAATCGTAAAAAATTATAAAAAATAAAAATAAAAATATTCATGTAAACTATGAAATAAAAGTCACGGATTAATGAAATCGTAACCTTTTGGACTAATATTCATAGGAAGAAGTAAAAGTTACAAAATATATATATATTTTTCTTTTCTTAATATTAAATGAGAAAGTATATTACTATTAACATTGAATATTGTTAGATAATAAACTAATGTAATTGATTATGTTATTGATGTTGTTAAATAAAGATATTATTGACAAAAAAACAAATAGATACAAGGGTATAATGAGAAATCGAATATCTGTCGCACATTTTTTTTAATATTGTAAATCATATAATTATAATAACACGTGCAAAAAGAATTATTTAAAATATGATATGGATAAATTGTCCATAAAAAAGATTATTAAGTCATGCGATGTAATATTGTAGATATTTAAATGATTTCACTTAAGAACGATAGTTTTTAGAGGATGTGAACATGTGATACTGCGTTGTTTCTATTCCACACATCTTGTTATGTACCAAAAGGACGGGTGTCCAATCTGTTTCTATAATCATGGAAAGGACATAGACAAGGTGATATTCTTACATCTTATTTAGCCACTATTTATCAAAATTTAAATTTAAATTAATGTCAACAATTAATTTTAATCACATACTTCACGGACTCATAATTCTCACATATTTCAACAATTTTTATCAGAATCTATTAAAAATTCGATTTTAATCCCCACCAAATATGGACTTAAAATAGCCACATAGTTGCACCTGAGGTAATCAGTCTTATCATAATACCATGACCGTCAACTAGTATAGATCACATGCATATGCATGTAGATCATAGATATCGATTAGTGCAGTTGAATTTGGAGTAAAAATAACTATGTTTGTAAAGAAGAAAGTAGCAGAATTATATTGATCAAAACTTGATAAATTACATTGTAACTTTGTACATTTATTTAGCCACTATTTATCAAAATTTTAATGTAAATCAACGTCAACAATTAATTTCAATCATATATTTCACGGACTCATAATTTTTCACATATTTCATAATTTTTTATCAGAATCTATTAAAAATCTAATTTTAATCTCCACCAAACATGGACTTAAAATAGCCACATAGTTGCACCTGAGGTAATGAGTCTTATCATAATACCATGACCGTATTATGTTGACGGCATATCGAACGAATGCCTCCACGTCAACTAGTATAGATCACATGCATATGCATGTAAGTCATAGATATCGATTACTGCGATTGGTATAACCTCTTGGCCTCGAGCAATATTCAAAAAAACTTCCCATAATGTGTGCTTTCTTTTAGGTTGCTTATCTCGAATTTAGCACTCCTTGCATCAAGTTAATTGTGTGCCTAATTATGATCTTTGTCACATTACCTTGACCTCCTCCTCAGTCTCTGTGGACAATGCATGAGTCACATGCCAAATATTTGTCTTCATAAACCTTTTAATCAAGACTATGAGATTCATTTAATTACTTTTTGAGGAAAAATAGTAACGTTGGTTTCAACTTTGTACTCGTAGCAATTACATCTTCAATTGTTTGAAATAAACATTTTTTGTTACCTTACAAGACTCGATAAACAATTTCCGTCCAAAAAAAATCATATATTTGACAATACTTTTAGAAAAGATATTACGGTTCATCTATACATAGCGTGTTAACGATGATGCATGTGCATATATTATAATTTGAATTGTTTTCTATCTATATTATAGAAAGATGCACACTAAAAATTAATCACGTCTTTACCCCCGTTTGCTTCGGCAAAACCTCATTCAAAATTCAGACATAAAGTCATTGACTTGGGTGGTCCAACCACTAACAATTTGGGTTCATGTCTTGATTTTCAAATACCATAAATTGCCATATATCTACGTTCTAAATTCTAGCTAAGCTGGCTAGAACTGGCCAAAACTAGAGCAATGACAATGGCCCGAGGGTTTATGAGAGCGGAATTGCGACCCAATGCATTAAATTCCAAGATTTACAGAACCCGATTATCAGAATCCAAACGTTCGCAAGACCTGAAATGTAACCTTAAATCCACCACTAGTTGAGGGACGGCACAACACATCCACTGATACACAGAGGTAAGGAGAAGGGAAAAAGAATGGCTTTAACTAGCGTGAAGATGACAGAGGAAGTCTGGTTGGCATGTATGACCCATGCATTGTCCACCGAGACTGAAGAGATCGTGGGTCTTCTTCTTGGTGACATTCAGGTTTATTCCCTTTTAAGAATTAGCCATTTTCATGGATTTTAGCTTTATAAATTTGAATTTTTTTCTCTGTTCCAATGGTTTATGCGTTGAAAGATCATAGCCTTCTTGTTGATTTTTATCTTAATGTGATTTTGCCAAACGGGGTTCTCAAATTCTTGCCGCAGACACACTTTTCTCGTTTTACTGGTAGTGATGATTGAAACCCGTCCAAAGGAAAAAAATAAATAAAAATATTAGTTTGCAGAAGTTGTGAACTTTACGGTTCCATGCGAGTCAACAATTTTCTTTTGTTGGTTTTGGATTTTTTTCCTAGATGGGTTTTCAAATAGTTGCTATGCCTTGATTTGCATGGATTTTGACCCGAATTCTTGACCGATGTCACCAGTTCTTGTAATAATAGAATATTTTTTTCGCTGATGATTTTATTCTCTGTTTAGGACATGTTTCACTGTGTTTATGTTACAATAATTTCATAGAGAACTTTTGGTCACAATTTTGATCCACACTCCCCATGCTCTGAAGTTCCTAGGGAATGCAGAATTTTTTTTTTTGTCTCCCCATTGAAAACTTCAGTTCGACTTGCTTTTGGGTTTTCCTTGAAATGTAGGCAATTTTAATACTGTCCATCATGTTCAGCAGGCATAACACCCCCATGATGGTGGAACTTGATTTAAAGCATGTGAAATTATCATTTTTATTTGACCTCCTAGTACTTGACAAGAGTAATGATAGACCTGAGCAGTTTGATTTCAAGAGTGGCTTCTTAGGGGCCATTCAGGGCCACCTTAATGTATGTATTGCTTCGTAGCTCGTGATCATAGTTTTGGATGTCTATTGACTTTCGGAGGGTTCGTTGACATACAAATTCAACTACTCTTACAATTTTAATATGTTACGCTGTATCCCTTTAACCTCTTTCCCGCCATTGTATTTTGAGAATTTAAGTATCTATATTCCATATTTGGTTTCTTAGTTGAACATTGACTGCAGTGGAACGAAATAATTGATTCTGGTTTTTGTGTAGCATTTGAGAAACGGTGATGTGACTGCACTGATATGGGGAGCACTCCCACAACCACGTTCTGATCGTCGGAAAGATCGAGTAGAGATCAATCCAGAACAGTTGGTTGCTGCTTCTGCTCACGCTGAGATATCCTTTCCTACGATGCTCACTTTCCTTTAATTTTTGAATTTTAATAAAATTCTGAGAAGCATTGATTACATCCTTTGCATGGTGGACCTAATACAAGTGCTGTTGCGACCTATTTACTGTCAATGTACTGTCAAAGAATGATAAACTTACTGCCAAAGAAGGATAAACTTAAAAAGACTGCATATCTTATATCCTGTTATTCTGGTGCTGTAAATTGATTTCAAGAACTTAGATTTCACATATGGTATAAGCATAGGATGGCTATGTTTCAGATTTTTTCCCACTATTTCTGTGTCATTAATGGCTGACCAAATTTCGACAGGCTGGAATTGTTACCGAAGTAAGCCGTTTGTTAACTAACTTCTGTAGGCTCTAACAAATGACTGTTCACATGCATTTCCCCTTTCAAAACTTGCTTGAAAGGGTCACATTTGAGTGTAGGTTTTGTTGTCCATCATAAATATTGTTAATGCTTTGACTTATTAGCACAGAATGACTATTGCAACAGGAGTAACAACTCGGGTGATTGGCTGGTATCATTCACATCCGCATATTACAGTCCTTCCTTCTCATGTTGGTAAGTTTTATAGTGATAAAAATGCTCCTAAACATGCTTATGTTTTTGAAGGTTTGAAGCTTTGTCAGCATCTTGGGGTGAGTCAGGTTGAGATTGAGTGTGACTTTCTGATAGTGGTTAATTGGATGCTCAATTTACAATGCACAGTGTGGTATTTGTGGGATTTTTGGGAGGAACTGTTGGCTTTGGTTCCTCACTTTGAGGTACATGTTGCTCATCAATTCAGGGAAGGGAACCAAGTGGCCGATATGTTGACAAGTTAGGTGCGGAAGGTCTTACATGGAAATATTTTTCAGAAAGGGAGCTCCCTCCTTTTGCATGGGGTTTTACTCTCTTGGATCGTCTTGGGTTTCTTATATTCGTAGATGATTTTTTTGTGGTGGTTTACAGGTTTTGCAGGTGATTTCTAGTGATTTATTAGGCTTGGTTAGGTTTTGTTTGGTTTTCTGTTAGGCTTGTTTAGTTCTCTTAGTGTTTGAGTCAATAGGCGTGTTTAGTTGGTTTGTTTTGCTGTTTTGGTTATTGAGTCGGTAACCACGGTATTCCTCCACCACAAGTGAGGATTTTTTAGTAATAAATTTGGAAGTACCGTCCTCCTTAAAAAAAAATGCTTATTTTTGTTTTGCTGCCATTGTAGTCACCCATTATCTTAGGTAACAGCTATTTGCAAAAATGATGAATAATAGATTTGTTGTTATGTGGGAAAACTAGATTTATGGATTTCCATTGGTAAAGTAGGTGGTGAAAGACGATTTAGCTGATGAGCTCATTGAATAACTTTCAAGATGTCCAGCTTGTTGAAAAACTATTAAATTTTTCCTGATTTACTGCTGATGTTTTGTTTCATTAGGAATGGAAAAATTCATTTATCTCTTTCAATCTAATTAAGGATGGTTTTGCTGCTTGTTGACTTATAAAGAGTTCTGTCTTTTTATGGAGATGAGCTAGTAATTTCCTATAATATACGAACTTTTTAAGTCTACCGTGTCTTTATAACTCTTGTTTGTTTCTGGTCTCTCGAAATTAATTATAATTCCTGCATGTCATCTCTGCAGATGTGAGGACTCAGGCTATGTATCAATTGATGGATTCTGGGTTTATTGGGTTGATATTTTCATGTTTCAATGAAGATGCTCAAAAGGTTTATATATAATTAATTTGTTAATGGGAAAATAACTTTTTGATTTTATTTATTTTTATAATTTTTCTAAATCCTTGCAGGCTGGGAGGATTCAAGTTCTTGCATTTCAGTCTTTAGATGGGAAGCAGAATCATGTGTTGAGACCTGTTTCCGTTTCTCCCCTCCCCAAAAGTCCTGTTATAGAAACTGAATCATCTTCAAGTTTCTCAAAGAACGCACTGACTAGACCTGGCTTTGTTGCTGGAGAAAGTGCTCAAAAAGACACTGGAGATTTGAGAGAATCTGCAATACCCTCTAAGGTATACTTGAATAAGCATGGTTTCTGTTTAAATTCTCCTTTTTCATTAAATGATATTTTTTTGTGTGTGCTTGACTGTGGATGTTTATTATCTGTTACTAATTGGCTAGGATGGAGTAAGATCACCCGACTTGGGGGTTCTTTTTGCAAATGCTGATGGCAGAACTGGAGACGCTTACCGTGACAACAATTTAAAAAATTCGATTCCTGATTTAGGTCCCGTGGAGGATACATCAGAAAGTATACTAGAAGCAATAAGACTTTCGAATTTGGAGATGAGGTAACATGAGTATGTACTTAATTAACTTCTTTTTTTCTTGATCCCGACTTGACAATTTTATCTGTATTTATACAACGCTCAAATTAGTAAACATTTGTTTGAGAGAGATTTTTCCAAGAGAAAAATAATTTCTCGGGAGAGTATGTTGCTAAAATAAAGAACGAGAAAAAGATTGCCAGAAAGATGAAAGAAAACCAGACTTGTGAACCAGTGGTGCATGTACCATGTTAATTGGTTTTAAGAAACGATTGAGAGATAAATAGTTTTTCTCCTTTTAATATTTGTTCCCCTTAATATATGGATCATGACCTAACACTTCCTGAACACAATTGCTTTTCATCCTTCTATACCTGCACAGACAGTGTTTACATCTTAGCAGATTAGCAGTTGGCATATAATGTAGTTCTTGGTATGGATCTTTAAATGGTTTTGTTTACTGGCAGTGGTGCGGAATTTGTTAGAAAGGAAATTCCTCTCCATGTTCTTCCATCATCATCCCTTCTGAGTCTGGACTCACCTTTATCATCATTCACAAATCTTCAACAAGTACTATTTGAAGAGGAGCGGACTGCATATAACCAAGCAGTCATACAAAATA